GGAATACGGTTAAGGTTTTAACAAAGTTCGAGCGAATACATAATTAGCAAAAAATAGTTGAAATAAAGTGATTAAACAAAAATTATTACAAATATCGTAAATAACAGTTCACAAATGCATATATAGAGATATTTTTTGAAGGGGGAGAAATGGTCTTCACAATTTGAAATCGATCTAACACAATGCTCAAATGCTCGTGTAAACGCGTGCCATCTATCGTAGGATAAATGTACTTCGTGGGAGTGTATTAAAAAACTTTCCGAAGTTTTATGGCAATCGTACTATGCCACAAACCTTCGCCGGAGTATATTAAACAATTTCCCAAAGTTTCACGGCAATCAGATAAACGGTGTGGTAATGCATAAAGGACAGACAGACACACACACACACACATACATTCATTTTTATATATATAGATTACACCAATATTGTAATAAGGAATGTGATCTAATTATCATTTCAAAGTTCAACATCTAATTCTTGCTTGTTCAGTAAAAAATGCAATTTTCTGACTGAACCACAGAGCAAACTATCCTCTGAGAAAGTTTACGAGACAAAGAAGTTGAAAACCACTGGTTTATAACACCAGAGTAGTGTTAAAAGAGGAAATTTATTTAACTATAACTACTTATACACTTTAATTATTTAGTCCAGCAGTGCTGGCTTTAGATGCAATCAGCAGGTGATCACATGTGATAGCAAGAAAAAACGAGCACAGTTTACACTATACATTGATTAATAAGTCAAGGTACTTGACTTATTAATGAATGGTTTTTGTGAAACTTTTTGCACAGAGTGCAGATAACACTAAGCCAGTACCACTGTCCTGGATTTCCTCACAAGATTTATATTAAACCTACCTACACTCTGTCTACGAAAAGAATCAACTTTTGCTCTAAAGTTGATTCTTTTCGTAGACATGGTGGTAGACATGCATGGTGTCACTTTGGTAAAACCACAGTTGTCCAACTATTTTTCTTAATGGGCCAAATTAGAAAATTAAGCAATGTGGCCCCTGGGCTGGACATCCCTGGGTTAAACCAATCAGCACATTCCCTAATGATGTCAGCATTTTTCACTTAATATGTCAGGTGATATGTAAATTTTATTTTCTCTCACTAGATGGCAGAATGACTTTTCTATTAATTGTGTTAACTTTTTGTAGCATGTATAAACTATAAAAAATTATGCATTTAACACATACTATAGCAAACTTCCTTGTATTCCAATACCAGAATGTGAAGCTTTCATAACACTATTTATAATGCATATGGTGACATGTTTAATTAACAAATAAGGAAGAAACTGGAAATGACTTGCCACAATTAAGCGATCAATGGTGATCATCATTGGTTAATACCCGAGTTGATTTTTTCTATACACTATATGTCTGTACAAGTGTCTAATGATATATAAACAGAAGGGAAATAAGGAAAACTTCGGTGAAGAATATTTTGTGAAGATTACTTCCGGACTCCATAACTTTTTTCCAGTTTTGCTCTTATAGGGATGGCCCATGAACCCTGATGCCCAGAAAAGCACCTCCAAATGAGACGGCCGGGACCTCATTAGAACCGTAGACCTACACACAGGAGCAAAGAAGTCAAGGGAACCATACCTCTACATGCAACCTTAGAGAGATACGGCTTCCAGGTCACACGTAATCAGAAATCAGATCACTCTTCCAAAATTATCATGTTAAACTATTTAGCCCACACAACTACGCCGTCTTCACGTAGCCCACTTGATCATTGGTGGAATACTAAACAACATATAGTTTTAGGGGGTGTGGGAGCTTCAGTGCTTGCAGTCGCCTGCACCGAAACACTCAACTACACATGGAGCATAAGCCAAGGCTTGCTGTCGCTCGCCTCGATCAATGTGGAACATACTGATCTTCGGAGGTAAATATCTCACAAAGAGTCACACATACAGGTATGGTTCCATTGACTTGTTTGCTCATACATAAGGGATTTTTAACTCTAGGATGTTTAATTTCTTCAGAGTTCAGATCTTACTCCAGTTTTACTTTTGTAGGAATTGCCTGTAGACCAGATAAGCAGAATCTTGATTAAGTTTGTTTTTCTATGTTTCCAATTGATTAAAAGGATTTAATTTTTTTTCTATTCAACTATATATATAACATCTTATATCTCATATTTAACTGCTGTAAATTTAATAATATATGGTTAATATATTGCTTAAACTATTACTTACACCAGTCATGTGCTGGGACATCCATTCGGGAATATATTGATCACTCATTGTAGGAAAGCTCGAATGAAATTGATGACTTTGCTCGACACTCATTGCCGCCATTTTGATTAAACTTGAATACAACGACGCCACCAACGGCATTAAAAAAACAAAAAAAAAACATAGATATTTATAATATTACTTTATAATTTTCAATAGGTTAAAATATTTTAAATGTAGAAAAAAAACATTTTTATAAATTTTACTTGTGGAAATCAATATTAGCGACGACTTTTTTTTTGTGCTACGGTTAATTCCTCCGAAATCGCTTTAAATTTCGAAAACAGGGCTAAATGACGTCACGTTAAAATTTCACATTTTGAATCGCCCCTTCTTCTCATTTTTACATTGTAACAAAGCCTCTGTGAGAACCGAGGGGTAACCTTTTCACACCCCCGACAAGGCCTATGACTTGAATACACTGCATCCATCAGTGGAGGATCAACAAGTATCTAAAGGGGGAGGCTTAAATCAAAAATTTAAAATCTTTGAATAATTAACCTCTCGGGCCTTCGGATTTGCATGCCATTGGTGCTCAGTCTCAAGTTACGCATGTAGCAATGCGAATGTGTCTGAGCAGGGCTGTTGAGTCGGAATCGGAGTCGGATGGTAAGGAAAAGTCGGAGTCGGGTGGTAAGGAAAAGTCGGAGTCGGAGTTGGAGTCGGTAGATTTTTACGCGACTCCATAGCCCTGGTCTGAAGTGTCACCCCTGAGATACCGTTGAATGTTGTTGCCACATGATATTCTCAACACGAACTTGAAGATTGTGGTTTGACTCGGTTTGAAAAACTAAGACAACACTCGACATGTTGGCGATTTTCCAAGAGAGAATGCTTGCCGGGAAGAGTTTCATACTTTGGTGAAATTGGCTCCTGTTTAAGTGCTGGGAAAATACTCGAAGGAAACCCGAAAAAGTCCAAGCAACCAGGCGCGAACCCGTTACCAACTACCAGTGCTTAACGGTTTCGTCCACTTTACCACTGGAAGGCTTTTCATACAATGGCTAATTTCGGCACAGGATGTAGCTTTGTCTAAGGATATCGCGCCGCAATGCTTGATACTCGCTTGTAAATCTATACTCGAAATCCAGTACTCGTGTAGAACCTCGCACCATTTAAAACTCCGTCACGTGGATTATTCGACAATACAAACTTTTAACGAATTTTAAGATATAAAAAATTCATGGAAAAAATATTTTAAACACCTAAATAGGGGCCACTATTTCCCGAATACTCTGGGGGCACTCCTGACAGATCCGTCTTGTGTTGAGTTACCTTATTTGATCAAACCAATCCTTAAAAAATTCCGTTTTCTGATTTTTTTCCAAATAATGAAATAGCTTTGGCCATTGGCTAACATTTACTTTAGATTATTTTTCTACTTCAGTATCATTATTTGTTATTTGTACAACCAGAGTGTCCGAAAGGAGAAGCCCAAAATGATCTTTGCACCGGCAGCTCATCGTTCTCTCGGAGGCCCAGCAGGCGTGCCCGATGTCATAACAGACAACAAGAAACATTTAAAACACTCACGTGCAGTGGGAATTTTAAACTTCATGTGGCTCAGGCGAATTTGAATCGGGAATCTCATGTACAGTGTTGAATTTAGGCATTTTTCTTCGAGTGAATTTTTTTGGATGTTTTCTTAATATATTAGAACGATTTCGGCCCCCTGTTGATGGGGCTTCAGACAATTGCCCTTTCTGCTAATAAGATAACGTGCCACTGCCTGCAACTTACTAAAATTCCAAAAATTTCGGGCGTTAATTCTAGGATACTCTAACCAATATATTAAAATTTATATTTAATTATACGAGGATTACACTAATTACACTTCATAATCACAGGATTGCCCGTACTGTTTAATCGTGCTGCCACCGCTTTTTATCCCATTAATTAATTTCAGTGGCATCTTACGGGCAAAAAAACGGCATTGCCTATTCGCCATCAATCTTTTATACGAAAATATTTTTCCCCAAAACGTATGAAGTCAACACTATACACGGGACCTCATGCCTGGGCTCCCGCGATGCTGATTATTAATTTCGCTGTTAGTAAGCCACATCATTTCAATTAAATACATTGATTTTACTATTGTTCAACTTTAGCAGGGATTATTATTTGCGTTAAGCTAGACAAAAGAGATCGTTGCTTATACACGTTTACAGTTTTTAGTTCAGTAAACGCAGATTAATTTACAGTTCAATTGAACCGACTTCCGCACACGACTTCGGATTCGAGTACCCAACGATATCACGTGACTTACTAAAACAACGTTTATTAATTTAATTAACTTAATAAAAATATCACGTTCGATAAATATAAAGCGAATAAACACTGAAATATTGGAAAAAAGTAAAAAATATTTCTACACGCGCGATTTTGACACCAGGTGGCATTGTTTCTTTATCTAGAGAGTGACGTTTGTGAAGCATTGAATCGGGAGCGAGTTGATACGGAGTTCGCTTCTACAGTTGCCTACGATTGAATAAGTTCGTTACGGATTACTTTATTCTGTTATTTAGAAGATAAATATCGTATAGAAGATGGCAGATTGGGGTCTATCGGCCGACGAGCAGGAGAAGAGCCTATCACAGAAGGTAAAGTGCTTAAACCTAACCGTGTAGGATAAATCCGATCAGATTGGTAGAATTTCCAGTAAAATCGAAGAAAATCATCCCTTCATTTCGTCTAAACAAGCAATCACAGTTTAAATACTCTCCTTTTAATTAACCTGTTTTATTTCTATGGTAATTAATTAACTGAATGAAGCACGTGTTTTCTTTTGAAATTGATTAATTTCTAAATGATTACACGTTTTATCATTAAATCTACATTTTGAATTGTATTCTTTTGTTAATGAATTAGAATTTCGTTCATTTTTTTCTTCGTTTTAATCAGAATTGTGTCATTGCAATCTCTTTCGTCATTATACAACTATATATAGACATTATCATTGAATATAATGTATTGCCTTTACTCCATATTGGATATTTGTAGTTTAGACTCATAAATTGCTGCTGAACTAGTAAATCTTTAACTCTTTTTCTATTCTACCCTGCTCCGTTAATCTTACGTCTTTAAGACGGCGCAGAAGATCGGTTACCGCTGTCAAAAACAATTAATAATATATCTTTATAATTATATTTTACAGATTGGAAGCATAAACATTAAATCTCCAAATCACATGGTGCCTGTTGTAAAGATACCGGCAGAAGATTCGTTAGGAAATGGCGAAACGGATGAACCGGGTACGATTGGTTTAATGTTGTCACTTAAAATTCCTTTCTTTTGTCTAAATTCCTGCAATTTTTCGGATATTAAGGTTAAAATTATTAATTTTTAAACTCGAGTAAATGTTTTTGACTTATTTCGCTTGTTTCTTTAGAAATTCCACTTGCTGAGGCATCGTTAATGAGAAAAATACTACACACTAAACTCGTTCATACTACTCACGATGTTGAAGTTCAGAGAAAGAATCCAAGTTCTCCTTTATATTCCGTCAAATCTTTTGAAGAATTAAACTTGTAAGTATAATTTTTTAATAAATAATTGAGACATTTGAGTGTAAGTTAATGGTATATGACATTTTCTAAATTTTACAGGAGCACATGCCGAATATTGAGAAAAATAATGCAATTGAACTATGTCAAATATATAAATTTTTTCGTATTGTTCAAAGAAACGACTCTTGTTTAGAACAACAATTCCACGAAACATTGTTTTTAAATGTTTTTTATTCATGAATTAAAACACATTTAAATGAATAAGTGAAGTCTTTTGTCTTCAGATACCATTGTTTACATAATTTTCACAGGAAAACGGTTATAATGCTGTCTTACTCGTAACTACACAGCAATTTGAAGTACAAATGGTAAACATCTGTTATCCGTTACGTGTAAGATATAATGTCTGTCAATTTTGTCTTGTCAAGTAGACGAGCATTATTATATTTCGGAGGTATAGTTTTCCCGAATGATTCTGCGTCCAAAGTATGATTTATTATTCCACTGTTAGAAGAGGAGTCAGCTGATATGTTGGTAGTGATAGTTATGGAATCCTATGAAAATAAAGAAGAATTCAAATATTTCATGTAAACAATGATAACTGAAAAGTTTCTTTTTAGACATTAGTATTATTACAGCTGAATTTTTACTAATAGAGAAAATCTACCAAACTATGAATCATTACATAAAGGAATTAAAATGAGTTAAAACAACTGTAATAATCATTATATTAAACAATGATGTCTTATGTTTAGTATGTAATGCATGAATGTAAATAATGTCATCAGCTGTTAGCACTATTATCTGCACAAGTTATATTTTAGGTTATGAAGTTTATCTACTTGATAATCACTATTTGAGTCTTTTGAATCACTGTAAATGATTGATTCTGTATTTATCTGAATTATAAAATCAGTTTTTTTGTTTTCAAAAAGCAATTATTGAATTTTACTACTTTCTTACTGTTGCAAGATCACACTAACTTTCTTCTTGGCACCATTTTCTTGTAAATAACATTATGTACGTGAAGTTGTTTGCACATATTACTTTATGAGTCAATATAACACTTCCACCAGTTGACTTATCAGTTAAACAAGGTTCGGGTGCAGTTATTTTCAACTTTGCTTAAAAAGTCACTTACCATTATTTACACCTGGATGCCTGAATTATCTGTTGAACATATANCTGAACACTGAAAAGCAAATGAGTTAAAATGCTGGTGTAATGATTTCATCATTACACCAGGCATGTTAAAATGCTGGTGTAATGATTTCATCATTACACCAGCATTTTAACTCATTTGATAAGAGTTCCACTCGCTTATTAACATATTATCCACTATTTGACACGATATAACACTTCCACCAGTTGACTTATCAGTTAAACAAGGTTCGGGTGCAGTTATTTTCAACTTTGCTTAAAAAGTCACTTACCATTATTTACACCTGGATGCCTGAATTATCTGTTGAACATATATTATAAAATTGTTATGGCTTATAGTATAAATTGACTTTACTATAACTTTAGTAACTATGAATGAGATTGTTCTAATTAAAATGTAAAAGTTATCAAGTATTTACTGGATATTTATGTAATTAAATATAATATGAGCATGAAAATGATCTTAAAGCAAAAGCAGAGAATAGTAAGCAATTACAAATTTCAATGATTTTTTACTATAAATTTAATAATATAAAATTATTTTAATTCTTATTTTTACAATTAGTTTTTCATACTTTAATAATTTAATGAAACAAATAACATATTTCTATTAAAATCTGTAGGCGTCCAGAACTCCTAAGAGGTGTTTACGAAATGGGATTCAATGCACCATCTAAAATTCAAGAAACGACACTTCCAACATTACTTGCGGATCCGTAAGTGAATTTACTTTCATATTTTATTTAAAAATCTGTAGTTTACAACTATAAAGTATCTAATTTTTATCATTTTTGTCATAAAACAGCCCTCAAAATATGATCGCTCAGTCTCAGAGTGGAACAGGGAAAACTGCTGCTTTTGTGCTTGCAAGTTTAAGCAGAGTCGATCCGGATAAGAGATATCCGCAGGTAATTTATGTTAATTTTAATTAATGTAAGAAACATATTTAAACATTTATTGATTTTACAACAAAATATAAACTTAAAAAATACCCCGCAACCAAAATAAGATTTTTGAATTTAATTAATTTTATTTTAAAAATTAGGTTTTAATTCTCTCGCCGACCTATGAGTTAGCCGAACAGACTGGATGTGTCGCAAAGCAAATGGCTAAATTCTGCTCGGAAATTGGATTTCGTTTTGCAGTTAGAGGAGAAACATGTAAATCTTATTTTAAAATATTATCATCTTTTCATCTCACTAGTGCACAAGCTGCATGTCCTGTTCCTTATTAAAATAGTATTATATATATATATATAATTTAAGTTTATAAAAAGAAATAGTATAAGCTGCATGGGTGCCAGAGTATTGGTGTAGAATAGCCACTTGTGGCTCGTGAGTTGCAGTTTGGCCTCCTTGGTACTATACTATCCTTTCTATGCACTTTTCTCAGTTCTGAGCTGTGATATTTTCTTTTTGTTATTTTTCTGCTGTAAAAAGTATTCTTAACACAAATAGCTTATTTTTTGCTTTCAGTGGCTAGAGGTGAAAAGATATCTGAGCAAGTTATCATTGGAACTCCTGGAAAAGTGTTAGATTGGAGCATAAGATTCAAATTCTTTGACGTCAAGAAAATTAAGGTGTTTGTATTAGATGAAGCCGATATTATGATCGCAACCCAAGGTCATCACGATCAGTCTATTCGAATTCACAAGTAAGATAAACCATATCTTGTCTTGTTTTTTAAATGAAATCCTTCTTTGTAAAATTAAAAACAGGTTCCTCACCTTTTATCTAGAACATTAACTAGAATATTTCTATAATTATAACTAATAAAATTACTTATTAATATGTCTGATTAATTAGGGAATTAATTGCTTACCTCTTTAACAGACAACTTTCTCCAGAGTGCCAGATGATGATGTTTTCTGCTACTTACACAGAAGAAGTTATGGATTTTGCTGAAATTATTGTGCCTAATCCAGTTGTTTTACGGCTCAGGAAAGAAGATGAGAGTCTGGAAAACATCAAACAGTATTATGTTGTATGCAGAAATACCGAAGATAAATTTAGTGCTTTAGCAAATATTTATGGAGTTTTATCTATCGGCCAGGCTATTATATTTTGCCATGTAAGTTTTATTTATTTATTGATTAACTAATGTATAATTTAAATCATTAATTTAATTTAGACAGCAATTTAACTCTTACTTAAATTTTTGTAATTAATTAGTAGCATTGTTACTATACTTTCAATATCAGTATATCATTTATATAACTTAAGACAAAAAAAATTGAGAAAATACTGATTAAATATTTAATTTTCTAACTTAGAAATGCTTATATTATATAAAGAAACTTTAAATATTTTAAATTAATATTACAGACAAGACGTACTGCAGCTTGGCTGGCCGAGAAAATGACCAAAGAGGGACACGCCGTTGCTCTTCTGTCTGGTGATTTGTCAATCGAGCAACGAATTGCCGTTCTCAACAGGTTTAGAGATGCAAAAGAAAAGGTTCTTATTACCACCAACGTTTGTGCAAGAGGTATGGAAACTGTCATTTTTTGTTAAATTAATAGAAATTGCAGTAACAAAATGCAAATTTTTTTCCATAGGTATCGATATTGAACAAGTCACTTTAGTCGTAAACTTTGATTTGCCCGTCGATCAGAAAGGTAATGCAGATTGCGAGACCTACCTTCATAGAATTGGCCGTACAGGAAGATTCGGAAAATCTGGAATCGCCATAAACATGGTAGATGGAAAAAGAACAATGAAGATCTTAGAAGATGTTGAACATCATTTCAGTAAGTGAAATCTGATAAATATACTCATTTTTCGCCTCTATAACATGCAACTTTGAGAAAACTGTGTAGAAAATCAAATATTTTGATATTTAATGTCACATGTACTCAAGAACATTTTTATTTTTACACTTCTGTTAAGTTAATTTAAACAAATATCATAATTTAAAATCACTTTAATGTAGGAAGTAATTGCAAGTATAATTCTTTGACTAAAACTCAATGAGATTCCTAGCCGACAAAAGTTTTAAACTTTAAAGTATTTTCTGTTTCAGAGCGTAAGATCACCCGACTGGATGCCGAAGACGTGGACGAAATCGAGAAAATCGAACACGACGATTAAGCCGTTCGGACGCAACTTTGGTCGTAAAAGAGGAAAACGTTTCCAGCTGTAATTACATATTTTGCATAATTTGTCAACTTGTAAAAAGAATATCATTAAAAAAAATACACTCATTGGAATCATTGACATTTTGTACATTGTTTATGTTATTATTTTCAAATGTACTATAATTTTATTTCTAAAAAGAAAAAAAAAAAACAGAGAAAAAGATATTTTCATGTATGGAATTTAGCTGTGTAAAATAGATATGAAAAGGTCATCCTAAAGTTTTTTATATTAAGTCCATTTTTGTAAATTCCATGAGTTGGCATTTTATAAACAAAAAGCACATTTTATGGTTTCTTCTGACATCAGATTTCAATGTTTGGTGTGATGAAAACATACCGAGTTTTAATTTATACATAATTATCAGTAAACAGAATAAGAATGATTATTTTAGACTGTTTTATTACTGTTTCTCCCCAGAAAGTGTCCTTAAAGATACTGGGTAGTGTTTATGTTATTGGCAAACATTTTTAGTTGTCAATAAATTATTGACTTTAATGAAAACTGTGTCTTGAATTTTCTTATTTTCTTACGGGGCGCGACATCCGAATATCTAAGGAACAATTCCCGCGCTGGCATCGGTGATGCGGATCTTTTAAGCAGAAATTCTGTTCTGACTTGAAAGATCTGCATTCAAATTGCTGTTGTGGATCTTTAAATGTTTAGAAATTTTATTGTTTTATCTAAAGATCTGTATCTTCATCAATGATATGGTATTCATCTACATCCTCCATGGATATGGATGCAAATCTTAAGAGGCTAGGTGAGATTTGAGAAATTAATATTACAAAAGAAGAATATTTAGAATAAATAATCAAAAATAGTGGTTTTTTTGTAATTTTTCATTTAATTAATTAAATACAGTTATACAGAAAGTGTTTTTATGGACATTATGAAGTGCCGAAGCGTGTTTCGAACATAGATAAAGCGAGTAACCAATAACTCGTATGATAATATATTGTTTATTAGCTGTATTTTGTACATTTTAAGAAGGCCCGATCACTAAAGTATCGGTTAGCGCGGTGAAAAATCAGATCCGAAAGTCGCGCAAAGGTCCGGACCGGATTCTAATCTGGATCCACCACCTTAATATATGGCGCGCGGGTGCTGGCCGATAAGCGTAATTCAATCTTTGTACTTTAATAATAATAAAATATATTATCATTAAATCTCACTTTTATTCGAAATTATGAACTTAATTACGATTTAATTAAATAAATTAACAAGAAATGATTTTATTATAGTTCTTAAAGTTTATCGATTTAAACGTAAATTTAAAAATTCGAATGAGCCAATAGGATTCTTCCATTAATTGTAATTGATTATTAAATGTATTCGTAGGTTTAGTGAAACAGATCAGTTCAGTTTCGGTCGTTGTTTTGAAGGGATTAGACGTAACCTGCCGTATTAATGCATACGGAAACGCCAAATATATTACCCAGTAAATTGAGTAATGAACAAATGCCGAAATATAGTGTAGATCATCAACGTGTTAGATATCCCTTCTGCATTGTTTGGACCCCAATTCCTCTTCTAACGTAAGTTTTCCTCTAATAAAATGCTTTAATGTGCTCTTCATTAGCTAGACTTAAGCTGATAAACATGCTATCATCTAAGCATAAAAACTTGGGGTTCAGTGTATATATTTACATGTATAAAGTGCTTAAGTTAACTTCTATATATGCTTATAAATGTGCTTAAATTATGTTTATATAGTATAAGATTTGAACTCTGAATGAGAAGTTCTCCCCCCACAGAATTGTATATCCCATGTACCGGCTAAAAAGTCAAAGGAACCGTAACTGTACATATGACCCTTTGCAAGATATTTGCCTCCAAAAGTTGGTAATTGTGTATACATGTGGAGCGTCGGTCAAGGCTCACCGTTGCTTGCCTTGACTGACGCTCCACATATATAGTAGCTTATATATAAGCTTATAATGTACAGTTAGCTTATGTAGTTCCATATATGTTTACCTCAGTATTGAATCACAAGATCATTTAGAATCATCATAACTAATTCATTCTCTGATTTTCTTCTTCTTTTACATTTTTTCAGACTTTTTTCAATTTTCAATTGTTTATTTCTCGAATACAATCGTACCCAGCAAAAATAAACAAATAACGTAACCAACACCTTATTGCTTGCTGAGGCCGAAAAAATGGAGATATACAGGAGCAAACTTAAAGACGGATGCATTAATGCTAGGGATGCGGAAGGTCTTCCCTCGGCTTGGAAATTTGCCGTTAAAAAGCTTACAAGTAGCGCATCATCTGAAATATGATATTTAATTGATTTAAAGGAAACAGTATTAATGTTTAGTCGTTGTAGTATATTATTTATTATTTGGTATCGTTTACAATTTATTTTTATTCATATTAATTAATATGTTATCAGTTTATTGATATTTTTGAATTTTTGAACTTATTGTTCCATTTATGATGTATTCCATTTTCATATATTCAAACCTGATGATGATCCGTTAAGTGGATCGAAAACGTTCGTTTTTAATAAAACTCCCTCAGCAAGCAATAAGGTGTTGGTTACGTTATTTGTTTATTTCTCTTCATAAATGTAGTTACAGTTTATAATTCTAAATGATGAGCCATTTTTCTATACAGTTCGGCTGATGTTTGTCAATTTTGATTAGGATAATGTTGCGTTAAAACTTCGATGCATTCTAAATAATCCAAGGAAGATCTTTAATGTTTTAATAAAATGCTTATATTTACGGAAATTATCACTAAATGATGAAGCCATCTAATTGTATAAGCTTGCGTTTTTCTGTTTGCAACAATATTTAAAGTCCTCCTAATATCATATGATCTCATTATCATTCATAGCGCTGTTCATATTTTCATTATAGGTAAATTTCATGACTCCAGTGGGAACACTTTTAAATGACCTTTTCTTGATGTCCGCCTCATACTTATCTTTGCCCATTTCTCAGCAAAGATAAGGTGTTATTTATATGCTTGCATTCTTGTTTTATAAATTTAACTATTTTGGTTAATCATGTTGTATTTATCATAACGTTCTTGTGGATGAGTGTCACATTAGAATGCACATACTAAAGATGCTTAAAATATCATAGTTTTAGTTTATTTGTTAGCATAATTTTGTCTTTATTTGCATCTTTCCTATATCTAGCCGTTATTTGTAACAATTTTCTATTCTCCTAATTAGCAAGGTACGTTTTTGATTTTAGATACAATGTTTATTAAACAAAGATAATATTCGGACCAAAATGCTTAAGAGCAGCCAATGGCCGACTGGATAAAACCACCAAACACTGGTAGTTGGTTGTCAGTTCGTCATCTCACCAATGGGCTGGCCACGTTTAGTTTTCCAGGTTTTATTTACATTTGTAATGCCTAAACGGGGCCAGTTTCCCATAAGAAGTCCTCCTGGAAGGCATCCCCTCGGCTGATCGTCCACGTGACGCATTGCCGTATACAAATAAAAAAAATTATTTTTTCTTTACTTTCCACATTACTGAACTGTGATAATATCTTTAACTTTATTGTTATGTGCTTATCACAAGTAACATCTAGTATATGACTGTTTTACTAATAAGTGCATTCATTGTTCTTTCAGCATATGATTACAAGCAATAGAATTTATTTGAAATTTATAAGTAAGTAAATAATGCCACTAGCGAAATTGTCTATAATGCATTTTCCTCAAACAAATATTAATGTGTGTTTTAATGAGTTAAAACACTGAACACTGAAAAGCAAATGAGTTAAAATGCTGATGTAATGATTTCATCATTACACCAGCATTTTAACTCATTTGATAAGAGTTCCACTCGCTTATTAACATATTATCCACTATTTGACACGTTGGTGGTTGTACATAATTAGGACTGTAGTGAGCCGTCCGACCGCCTGACTTCGCTATAACCAATGTAGTTTCACTGAAGGTTAAATTATCCTAGCTTTGTAAGATGTTGTTCTACATCCTAGTAGTGGTCTCTCGTGCACAACTATAAAGTTGGCTCCGACCGCTGGCGGTCATATGGCTCTGAACGGCCCTAATTAGTACAGTACAACTGCCGGCATGTCAGATAATGGTTAACGTGTTAATATCTGTCTATCAGGAAAAACGATACATAAAGAATAAAAACAACTGTAAGTATATAGAATTTTTAAAACAAAACACAAATATGCACTTTGTCAATATAACTGATGTAGATGCCACTCTGAACTCTGATCTGAATTTGAACAAGGAATGTTGCAGTATTTAAATACCAAGCTGAAACCTGGATTTAAACTTGCATTTGGTTAACTAAAAACAATATCTTAACATATTTTGCTACTAGATTAAGTGAATTCAAGTATGTCCACAACCAATGCACTCGGTAAACGGTTTAATAAGCTTTTACTATTGATAGAACAGCTTGCAACCTTACATGATGGTTGAAGTAAACAGTAGCATATTTACATTTGCAAACTTATTTTGTCAAAATAACTTTGGGTTAATACAGATGGATAGTAAAAATGGTGTTAATACTATAACCATGGATATAAACATATTACTTCATCAGAACTTGCCATATCCATGACATGCAATGTGCATTAGTTGCTGCACTGACGAACTCTGTGAATATAGGAATGCATTTCGCCGAGTTCGTCGGTCATGCATTTCGTTATTGTATGGACCGAAAGTGTTTTTGAACTAAGGTACTAAACACTCTCTGTCCATATAATAATTGTTTAAAGAAATTAACTCTAATACGGTTAAAAATTCGGACTTATCAAATTGGCAGTCGACTTCGGTTAATGAGTCCTTTTATGATGTATTCCATTTTCATATATTCAAACCTGATGATGATCCGTTAAGTGGATCGAAAACGTTCGTTTTTAATAAAACTCCCTCAGCAAGCAATAAGGTGTTGGTTACGTTATTTGTTTATTTCTCTTCATAAATGTAGTTACAGTTTATAATTCTAAATGATGAGCCATTTTTCTATACAGTTCGGCTGATGTTTGTCAATTTTGATTAGGATAATGTTGCGTTAAAACTTCGATGCATTCTAAATAATCCAAGGAAGATCTTTAATGTTTNTTTTAATACAGGGTTATTCGTGAGTAGGTTTATGATTCAGAATAAGGAGAACAAAACAAATATACGGGGTGCATAGGAAAGTCCCTTTAACCGGAAAATTCTTGTTATTATTTGATGTCCATCAAATAATAACAAGAATTTTCCGGTTAAACAATATCATTTTGGAGGATCCAGGATTGAATCTGACAGGTTGAAAACCCCAGAAAAATTTGGGGTGGTCAGTCCAGCTATATCAGGCTTGTCCTTAGCCACCCAACCATCCCAATGTGGATCTAGCCAAACCCAAAATAGTTAGAAAGTTGTCCTCTTACTACACACAGGCAGAAAGGGTTTAAAAAAAACCTGAATTATTAATATCCAGGTAAAACGGCTTTAATACTTAAAATGTTTTTTTTTAATGTCTTAAATTTCCAAAAAAGTTTAGACATTAACAGAAAAATATATTTTTTTAAGATAATTAAACTGCAAATCTTCTATAGAAAAATTTTAGTGTATGGCACTGGTCCATTAATTACAGGTACAGTGTGAGACGGCGTTACAAAAAATACGTTATAGTATACGATGGAGTGAGAAGGGGTTAAGGTGTTGTCTACGCAAACTTTTATTGGTCAGTGGCATGTTTTTTCATTGTTGGGGGCTCTGCGAATAATTCTACACGTAAGTAAAGAGGAGGAGGTCCGCTAGAAGTAAATCACTGTATACAATGGAGAGGGAGGAGGTCAAAAGTGGCTCAAACTGTACACATAATTAAGAGATGGCCTCTATATTACGTAACATGCATTTGCCTAAAATGAGAAGTAAGATGGGATTTAAATCGATAACAAATGTCCCTGTAGCAGAAGCTATCACTTTTCCTTCCTCAATTAATGAAATTTCTAGAAGGAACTTTGTCTGTTCCCTGCAGACAAAGCATAGGCGACAGCAATGTTTATCAGCAAGATTATCTCATCACCTATTCTTCATAATGGGATTTGTATGAATGCTATAGAAATAATCTCCCACAGCCCTTGTCCCTTTCCGAAAGCCATAAAAATATGTGAATTGATAAAATAAAGCAATTGTTTTTGGTCTTTATCTGAAGAAACTTTAATGGCATTAATTTTAATATAAATTAATCATTTGTTTGTAGATGGTTTTTTCCATTTATTGGTCACATGGGAATTGGTATGTCGTCTGGAGTCATACGTGATTTTGCTGGACCTTATTTTGTATCGGTAAGTAAATTTATTTTATTTTTTTTCTTTGTTAACTTTTTCAATATAAAAATGGCACTTATCCAATGTTTAAACTACAGTACAATCTTGGTAATCCAACATATAAGGGAATTGAGCAGTGTAAGATGAAGGAGATTGCTGGTTTATTGGAAATAAAGTGAATTCAATAGCACAAATTAATTTGACAGTGTAGACTCAACTGTTAATGTAGTAAAACACAAACACTCAAGTGTGTTAATGTTTCCAAGTTGGTAGATTTCCACTAAATTTAGTGGGAAATGGAAGCAACCATGGAAAATTTAGTGAAAGGTGCTGTACAGTATTTTGTTATAAGATGATGTACTGTACCTGTTTTGAGCAACCTAAGACGATGAACATAACAGTCTTCAATATCACGCCCTAACTCGAGTGTTCAAGCTTGGTCTCAATATGCCATGTTTAGTGAGATGATCAAATTTAGTGGGAAATGGAGTTTGAACTTGTGGGAAACTTGCGGCGGTGCCAGAAATACCCGAGAGCCAACTAGTATTGGATTATTGGATATGTTGAAGTAGCAAACGGCCAGATTACCAAGGTTGTACTGAATATTTTTCTACAATAATAATGTTACGAAAATTGGACATCTCGCTGGAGGATATCAAACAAATACATTAATGTCATATAAAATTCTGGAAAAGGAATAATGCAAAACAGAATTGGTAACAGCATGTCTGTTTAGTAACAAGTTAAATATATTTTAATCCAAAATTAATTATAGTTCTGAAGCCAGATAGACAAAATACTACCTGCTACTCTGAAGGACTTAAATTTGATCTGGAGTCAAATTCTTCTGAATTTAAAGGTGATCTGACCCGAATTTCATCTCATCACCTGTTCGCAACAGGTATGCAGAGGGGTCTTTTTAGTGCATGCAGGGCAAAATCACTATAAATCAATAAAATTAAATGATAGTTTTCTTTGCTACACAAAGATTCTAATTAATAGAATGTTAAAAAAATTCATTTATGTTACTATTAATTATTAAATGTTAAGTAATTTCAACCAAAAATCAAACTCGGCTTTGTGAAATACTTAATGAATTATCAATACCACCTTCTGCTGCCGAGAAATGTTTATTAAACAAAACATAAATCTTTTCATCTTAATAGGCCATCCTCGGGCGTAACTGAATTCGAACACCTTTTAAAAAAAAATGGAACATTTTAATGAAGGAATGTCTGAACTCTCACATTTAAATTTAAAACGAAATATTAGACAAATTAACAATTAAATAAATAAAGATAAAATGTTGTAAATGAACTAAAACAACAATAATATAAATAATAAAATAAAGAAAAATGCAAGTGTTTTGCCATTGCAACAAATAAAACAGTTTTATCTGGGAGAAAAATAATTTTAATTTTGCATGAATTGTAAAGTTCCAATAAGTATTACAATAAATTTTAATACAGGGTTATTCGTGAGTAGGTTTATGATTCAGAATAAGGAGAACAAAACAAATATACGGGGTGCATAGGAAAGTCCCTTTAACCGGAAAATTCTTGTTATTATTTGATGTCCATCAAATAATAACAAGAATTTTCCGGTTAAACAATATCATTTTGGAGGATCCAGGATTGAATCTGACAGGTTGAAAACCCCAGAAAAATTTGGGGTGGTCAGTCCAGCTATATCAGGCTTGTTCTTAGCCACCTAACCATTCCAATGTGGATCTAGCCAAACCCAAAATAGTTAGAAAGTTGTCCTCTTACTACACACAGGCAGAAAGGGTTTAAAAAAAACCTGAATTATTAATATCCAGGTAAAACAGGTACAATTAATTTATTATATGCTAGATGTTTTGAGTTACGCATTAGATAATTTAAAGGTGATAAAATTTGTGCTTGATTTATTTGAATTTAAATAATCTACTTACAATATATGATTTGAAAATATAAATTGTTTATTCATGTCAATTTATAATTTAATTAAATTCTTTTTTAATATATGTAGGAAGATAACATGGCTTTTGGGAAACCAACAAAGTAAGTATATAAACATAATTTAATTGCTTCATTAATATCTATCCAATGGTAATCTTATAATATACACAGTACAGGTATGAACTGCTTAATGATGGGATAAGTTCCAAGAAATACATCATTAAGGAAACTTCCATAGAGTGTATCTAAACATACATAAATGCGGAAAATGTACAGGTACCTAATGGATTTTTCAGCTCCATTATAATTTTATGGAACTCCATCATGCATGCAGTCCATTATTAAGCGGAACATTGTTAAATGGCTCACACCTGTACTAATGTTTGAAATGATAATACAATTCTAATAACTGACATTTCAGCTACTCCAAATTGGATTTAATCATTCTTAAAATATGTTGATTACCAATAAAATTTTAAAATAGAAAAAATACTGACTTTAATTTACAGCAAAACTTGTTGACAACGTAACTAATTTAGTAGAGAGTGACATACTGAAATGCAACTTTGCATGTTACATATCAATAAATTTTTGTGTAAATATACTATTGAAAAGTCATTGTACACCATACTTCATTACAAACGTTCATCCTGTAGTCTATTATTCTGTTTATCTTTTGGCTTTCGTGATAGTATTGACTCCGAAGCATGCTTTCTACCAGTTGTTTGAGTTGTGTCATTAATATATTAGAGAGGTTGCGGCCGACGTTTTAAACACGAAAACGTGTACATCGGACGTTCAGCGCCACTTTCCTAAAGGCCTAGAAGTTTGACAATGGTGTTTGGAATGTCGAGCATGATTCCACTGACTATCCAAACATCATTGTCAAACTTCTAGGCTTACAGGAAAGCGGCGCTGAACGTCCGACATAAACGTTTTCACGTTTAAAACTTCAGCCTCAACCTCGCTTTTTATATGTTTGGTCTACTTGTAATCGGACATTTTTGTTGATAATTATGAAAATCTCTACTATAAAATGTGGAAACTTTGTTGTTCAACCTCCATATTTTGTTGTCTTCTTATCCACTGTAATGAATGAGTGTCATGTGACTGGACGTGCTGGAATTTTGTTTACCACTTTTGAGATTTNAATGAAATATAAAAGGAAATTGCATTGCAAAGTAAACAAAATGTTTTGTGTCGCGGAAACGGCACACTTCAGAAATTTCGGGGCAAATCAGTGGCAGCACACTTCAGAAATTTCGCGGCACACTAAAGTGCCGCGGCACAGTGGTTGAGAAGCACTGGCCTAGAAGTTTGACAATAGTGTTTGGAATGTCGAGCATGATTCCACTGACTATCCAAACATCATTGTCAAACTTCTAGACTTATAGGAAAGAGGCACTGAACGTCCGACGTACACGTTTTCGCGTTAAAAACGTCGGCCGCAACCTCTCTATTATCTATTCTGTCTTCAAAGCAACTGTCGACTGCATCATGGGAGCAAGCTGAAACATGACTTCATGCATTGTTGTCCTGAAACATCGCATTGTTCATTCCATACACTACAGAGGGTTGGATAGCATTTCAGATTGCCAGTAATAACAACCAATGGATCCACATCATACTATTAAAAATGGCCCTAAAACGTTAAGCCATAATGAGAGAGTGCAATAATTTTTTGATAGACAATGTATGATTATTATATATAAGTAAATATTGCTTGCTAGGTATGATAAAATGAATTATTCTTTTTGAAATTTAATTAGTGTGATTTCAAATATAATAGTATTGGAATATAAATAATAGTGTCGGAAATCATATTGAGTACAACACGTCAAACTACATTTTCTCTATACTTTTATACTACTGATTAGAATGAAAATAAATTTAAAAACTGCTAAATTGATTGATTTATTTAATTATTATTAATGTTAAACAAGAGTTTGGTTAATTTAGTGATAGAAATTTAGAGAAAACACAAAGCTTAAGTTGAATCCACACATTCGGTATTTGCCAAACACCGAGCAAACATTTGACCAATACCAAGTTGTTTGGTATTTATCACTTACCACTCTTTGTTGGTATAATGTGCCAAAATAAAGGGGACGAATAGGCAATTATTTGGCCATTGGCAAATACTGAATGTGAGAAGCCGGCTTTAAGATAATCTAAATCGGTGGTTTTTGGCCAGGGTGCCACAATATAGTGCCGAATATACTTCATGTGTGATAACACTTCATAGTGTAGTACTAAAAGTATGAAAAACACAATAAGTACGTTGACAAAGAAAAATGGATGCTGCAAAAAAGAAAATTATCAAGTTGGGAATGTCACTATTAGAAAAATATTGAAAAACACTTATGTAAACAATTTAGTCAGCATAACTAGTTCTTCTAAGAGATGGTATGTAAATTATTATTATTTGAGACTAACTTCATTCATTGGATACATGAAATATTTGCATAAAATATAATGCTATTGTTTATATAAGGTGCCCAAAAATCAGTTAGCCATTGTAAATACTGTACTAAATTGTATCTTATTCAATTACTTTACCTAAAATCTTCACGAAAAGTTTTTTGCTCAATACATAAATTATAATGCTTAATAAATTTAGTTTGATTTATATTTACAATAATATACAAAACAATATATGATATATTGACTTTTGGACAACCTTTTATATAATATGCAAAGATACTTTTTTGTACCAGTAATATAACAAATAAATAATAAGCTACCCAGAAAATTAAAATTAAGATATAAAGTCTAAGTTTATACGGCCGTATCGAGCTCCACATTTTTGCAAGGGAGTGCCATTTTTGGAAGAATGTATAGAGATGAGGTTTCGGAATGAAACTTTTCCAAGGTGCTATGGGTGCAGATTTCATTTTCGTGGATAGTAACACTCGTTCAAAAGAATAGTGTTCTGCTTGTATGTTAAGATTTATGCTGTTCTGATTAATAGCACCCGAGATATAATCCAAGTTAATAGTTTTATCTCTGAACCTCATCTCTGTACATTTTTCTAATAATGGCACTTACTAAAACACGGAGTTTAGTATGGCCATACAAACTTACACTTTATAACTTAATTTAATTTTCTGGATAGATTATTATTTATATGCTATATTACTAATACAAAAGTCATGCTCAAATGTGAGTATATAGGGCTGTTGAGAAGAGGAGCTGGGGATTTATCTCCTGATCTGGTAGTAGTCTGATCTCTAGTGGTTCTACTCCTATAAAATTAATGTTATTTTTACTGGCAGAAAGTAAAATCTTTAAGATTGCTTTTTACTAAAGAAGCATTCTATGTATTTCATTTATTCAAAAAAACAAATAACGAAGGGTCCTCTTTCCCCCGGCCCCATACATGCTCTTGATGGTACTATGACTATGTACCGTACAGTATATATTTGTTACTTATTCTCATCTTGAACTTGTATATTTGCTATAAATATTAATATTCTTATATATATCATATCTTTTGGAATTTTAAATTTACATCAAATGCAACTGCAATTTTAAATTTAAAATAATCTGTCACTTTTCTAGATATTGGCAATTAAATCCAGATCTTGCACAGAATGGATATCACGGATGGGATCGAGCAGTTTCGGAAGCGTCGGAGGAATATAAACATAGAATGGTATTTTTAGTATTTTTCAGTTTCACAATTGTTCATAAAATATTGAATATAAATACGTAACTTTTTATTATTTTAAATGAATATTTTAAAATCTTCAGTCTCGGAACAAGATAATAGAAACAACAAACAGAAAGTAAACAGAAATGAGCTTGCTGCATAGGATCATTCTTAGCAAAGTTGCTTTTGTGTGACTGTTAGACTGACTTTGAGGTTCATGTTTGCTTTCTGTTTGTTATATATTTTAATTCTGTTATTATAAATCATTGATTTTAAGTGTTTTAAATGAAGCATTCTGTATTATATAAATTACAAAATTTGTATTTATGACCTTGGATTTTGAATATATTACTCTTTAATAACTAATAATATAGTTATTAAAGATTAAGTTTACATTTCAGTCTAAACTAAATACTATTTACCATTGATTTTATGGACTCTCGAACATAATGTATGTACTGTACTTTAGAAATAGTAGACCAAATCTACCTATTTCGACACATCTGTCGATATGTGGGTCCCATTCACATCAACCACATCATTCTTGAAAGTGAAGTGTTTATTTACTGTATATTTACTATAATACAAGTTATTTATGTGTCTTATATCTCATAAAAATAGTTTTGTAGTCAACTGTAACATTTTTTTTGGATACAATAGACAATTTTGTGAGGCAGCTGGGGTACTACTGCTGAGTACCGCTTATTTGACACGGATCAAGAGATCTGTTCTCTACATCAATGGACGGCCTTAAAAGTGTTTCTAAGGATCTAGATGGTGAAGTCAAGATCTACATCAGGATGTTGACACCAGTTAAACTATTATGTCACGGTTTAACTCGCGATTTATCTATTATTTTGGTTAGGAGGGCTCTGTTGAGTGGGGAGGACAATAACATGGAATTCAGTCATAGAAGAGACCATAAGTTTAGTAACAAATAAAGATATTTAATAAAACAAACTAAAAATGTATAAATCCAGATTACAACATGTTAAATTTCCTATCTCGTGGAGAGAGAGAGATTACAATTCTTGTAAATCATAATACCTCACAAGGTTCCTTTTATACTTTGGTTTTTCCTGTTTGTCTTCTCCTGTAGGTGTGTCGAGGACAAGGTTCATAGAAATTCAGGTTCTCATCAGGTCTTTACTTCTTTTACTGGAAATTTCGAAGACGGCACTTCATTAAACAGCTTCTTGGTTTGGGTAGAATGACAACGGATTTCTCGTGGGGTTTCCTCCAATTGGAATGGAGTATTTTTCCCACGTGAACAGGATGAGTGGGGAATTACAGAGGGGTTGACTCTTGGTGGTTTGACTAACTTTTTAAAGATAAGGGAAAAAGAAAAAGGATGTTTAACTTCCGTGGGAGAGGAAGTGTGTTTTTACGGTTTCCTCCATTTTTGAAAATAAAACCTTTCCATCAAAATTATAAAATATTACTTCTGAAATTTATTATTTTGTTTGAATTTAATTTAAGTAAACAAAGGGGGAGTGTTCAAAATCTCGCAATTTGCATTACCAGATCAATGTTTCTGCAATTAGTCCTTTACGTTGAGGGTCAACCATATGTTATCTGCTTGGATTTTAGTTTCGCTCTTTAATTAGAGTTAATATAAACATTGGATAGTTCTTTTTAAATATTCTGTTATTTATTAATTAGCTGTTTGTTGCTTTATATTATATGAATTAGCTTAGCCACATACTATTGTATTATTTTCCTCCTTAAACTGTACATATAATTAATGGACTGTCCCTTATTTGTATACTTCATCACATTGTCTCTTGTTATCTAATGGAGCCATTAGATAAGGATGAAGGAGAAGTAACTAATAGTAAATTAAGTTGAATAATATAATGAGTACCATTTGTTGTAGTAGTAGTAGTAGTAGTAGTAGTAGTAGTAGTAGTAGTAGTATTTTTGCATATTTATTTTTGTGAAATATATACTAATTAAAATTATTATTTGCTTTTTATGTAGCATAATTTGTTTTGCGACAACTGTCATTCGCACGTCGGAATGGCATTAAACTTAATGCGTTACAACGACTGCAGTTCTTGGAATATGGTCAAATTATGCTTTTATATTTTAATTAATGGTAAATATGTTAGGTAAGAAGCTTTATATTTTTTTACTTGATTTTAAATATTCTTAAAATAAAATTAGATATTTAATTTTAACAATGTAGTGTCCATTCTTGTAAAAAGTTTTTTTTTTTAATATATAACTAGGGCTGTGTTAATACTTGAGGTAGACAGTCTACTGCCTCAGGTGACAAAATTGTTTGAAATATACAATATTCCAGAAATATTCTTGAAAGAGGGATGAGATACATACATACAAATGAACAACAAAGTATTGACATCATAGTATTCAGAAATGACAATTTCAGTTTTATCATGAAACAAAAGAAGTATAACAAAATAAAAGTACCAAAAATGTTAATTAGCATTATTTGCAACAAGCATGTTGTTGTTGACTAGATGACACACACCGAACCATCAAAACAGTGTTGCGGCAGGCACTCAAATACAAATACGGCACTAACTAACATATATTGAGAACATGCAATTATCAAGTATGAAGAAGTTGATCTCTTCCTGCAATTTGATTGTGTAGTTTACAGATAAAGAGAGTTTTAATTGGACGAATTCACTGTCCTTCTGTAGTCAAAATCAGTTTTTTAACTACTGGAATCTATAATCTTTCTGTATTTGATTATCAATTGTTTTAGAATGGGAATCAATAGTCTAGTTTTAGATATGCTAGAAAAACCAAACCAATTGATCTTAAAGACTTTAAAGTTTCAATTTTCCATCATAAAACATTACTTATAGAAGTTTTGTCATTCTTTCTTTAATAGCGAGGTTGAGGCCGAAGTTTTAAATGCAAAAATGTGTACGTCGAATGTTCAGTGCCACTTTCCTGTAAACCTAGAAGTGTGACAATGGCATTGGGAATGTTGAGCATGATTCCACTGACCATCCAAACACCATTGCCAAACTTCTAGGCTTACAGGAAAGCGGCGCTGAATATCCGACATACACATTTTCGCATTTAAAACTTCAACCTCGACCTCGCTAATAGCTTTCTGAAAAAGATTAGATAAGAGTAACAATCTGTTTACTCCATGCAATAAGGTTAAATTCCCAGATTTTACCGCTATATCCTCATTAATTAATTTGGAGTTTGGATTAGAATCAAAACTTAATAATTCATAAATCTTAATTGGAATTTGAAATCAAATTTATATTAGATAGAACCTTAAATTTTCATGAGTATTTTGATCCAAATACATTGGTTCCGTCTCTTGCCTTTCAAGCCTTATTGTGGGTTTGGCCAAACTTAGGACAGGCATAAAAAGAGGCCTGCATAATGAAAAAAGCAAAAAAAATTCAATTTTATACAACATTTTATTATTATTATTAATTTTGTAGAGAGATAACTTTTTATGTACATTTAATTTTACTGTAATAAATCATATTTGTCTTCCAGTCATTTGTTATTTCAATATCATCGTAATCTATTTTTACTGATCAATTTATCATTTTTTCACAGCCAACTACAAATGATTTTTTTAAATTATAGATAATTTAGATATAATTAAGTGTTGCAGAGAGTTTTACTGTTATGAAAGATAATTATAGATTAAGTACTTGATCAACCAATGTTCATTGAAGTGAAACAAAAAAATAACAACAACAATAGAGGAAATTATTCAGTGTTTTTTTTTCCTGAATGTGCATTGATATTGTACACAGATCAATAATTAATGATGGGATTTGATATTATTTCAATCACTAATTATATATATTATAAATTTTAATTATTATTTCCTTAAAGTTAATGATAATTTAATATCATAATTGCAATATTTGTCCTAAAATGTATGTACTTTAAAGACAATTCTTAATGTATCCTTCTCATACTGCAGGAACGTAATTAAACCTTTTCTTTATACACTCATCCTATATTATTTATTTTAAATCTTTGCAAGATTCCAATGCCAGATGCAATTAACAGCAATTTTACATCATTTTATCAATTACATAAGCTTAGAAATGTCTACTTACATAACGATAACAATAACTATAACCATAGCTTCGATTACAATAAGTGGATTCTGCTGTATCTGGAAACTTATTTTCTGTCTTATATGTAAATTTTCAGAATTAAATTATCTATAATAAACAAATGATACTGCCAGATTTTAATCAGGACATAATATGGCTTATTAATTATAAAGATATTTTGTGATTTTTGACTAAAGGCAAGCAGTTAAGCTAACATATTGTGCTAAATTTTAATAATTTGAAATCAATTTAGAATATTCTGCACCAGTCTTTCCTTTTAGAACGCGACCAGAACCTTCGGCTTAGTTGATAGTACATCATACTGTCTCTTTCATCACGTAAAATTAACGTACAACTCCTGCTTACCGTGCAGGTGCATTGCCAATCACACTATACAGACCTCTGTCCGATCTTTGCTTCCAGACTGATTAATTTACAAGATATAAATACACAGGTTGCAGGAATGTATAATTAATTAATTATAATTACTTAGTCGTATTTATAGCCTGATTTAAAATCTAGCATTTACTACTATATGTCAGGTTTGTTTATATGTAATTATTTAAATTATCTATGTTTTAATTCTTGTAGTAGATAATTACTTTGCAACTCTTCGCTTTACAATGTCTTACTTTGACTGACATTAATTTTTTTTCATTATGTGAAATTCCATAGTTAAATGCTTTATTTTTTATTGATTATTTCGGTATAGTATATAATTTGCTTCCAGGAATACAGCCTGTGGGTAATTAATGTTTGATTTATAATAGCTAACTTAATGATAGTTTTCCAGGAACCAATTAGATTTAAAAATGGGATATGTGTCTACTAATATATATTATAGCGATACATAAGAACAATTGCTACAGGCTTACACGAATACATGGAAACAAATTAAAAACACTTGCAATTATAACTCGAAAGAACACAAAAAATAATCACTCTTATCAAAAGTCTTGGAACTGAATCATTTTACGAGCGATCCTTCTGTTAGAACATTTTAATGGCAGGGATGTGTTTCAAGAAATAAGCTGAGAAAAATCTACCTAGCGGCAATATATATGATGAATATTCTATTGTTATTAGCTGTTTAATTTGATGTAGCATTAGTTGTTAACACTTACTGAAAATTAATACAGGCTGCTTAACAATGGGGATGCATTTAGAGAAATGTTAAGCAAGCATTAGTGTACTTAGACAAACTTTATTTGGTGTAGTCTATTACTTGTATAGGCTATATCTAACACAGTGTAACAAGGTAGGTATTTATGTATCTAAAATATAGTAAAGGTATGGGTGGCTATAATTTTTTTTAGCTCTAGTATAATCTTACGGGACCTCTTTTGTACATGTGGTCTATCATTAAGCAAGGTGTTGTTAAGCCATACATTATTGTACATTAATTTCAAACTTTTTAATAAATTTTAATGTGTATTCATTGTAAAATAAGTCATGTCAGATATAACAAACATCAAGAATTCAGTTAAATGAATCATTTGACAATTTCCATTTACGGAATGAATATAGGAGGTGCACAAACTATACGAATTAAAAATAAATTTCTAAAAATATGACGTAAGAATTCTTTCATAATACCATAGGACGATCGAACAAAAGTAGAACTCTCAAGTAGTAGTGTGAAGAGTTTGTCGACACTAAATTAGATTTAGTGATGTCCTGAGCCGATTGCAATTGTTGCATTGCTGACTTGCAGCACCACCAAATTCCTCATGCTATTTATTGCAAGCTTTACTTTTGTTTTATTGTCTGTTATAATAATTCTTGACGACAGTAAATAATTAAAGCATAAATTTACTGTCGCAAGTGAACATAGCTTCAGCTTTATTGGAGGTTCTGACAAACACCCACTCTTCAACCATAGAGAATTATAATTAAATTCAAATACAAACATAGTTTTTAGGGTTTTACAACTTGTATTCGAGGATAAGCATTAAATTCCAGTGCAAATTAAGATTTGAATTTTCAAAACACAGTAGAATTCACTTATTGTAATCACTTCATAATTTTCTGAATGATATACATTTATGTCATTTAACATTAAAACAACAGTTAGTGAAAATTCTGGTTATACTGAATGTAACATTAAAGGATTTACACATTTTTTAAATTGTTTTTAATAACTTGAAAGTTTATTAAATGAATAGTAATTTATCCAGTGTTATTTGCCTATATTTGCAATATTATCTTTAACAATTGAAGGAAGAAATGCAGACGATTTAAACCAGGTACCAATTAAAACATTTAACACTTAATGTTTAAAGCCTTGGATTATCAATAACAATTGCACATTATCAGCTACATATTGACATTGATAGGTATTTTTGAACAAGCAAGCAACAATTAGTAATTTAATTAAAACAGGTGGCTGAGAAGTCAGTTAACCATTGTAAACACTGAATCTCTGTTTTATTTGAATGCTTAAACATATGTTTGTGTATGTCCACCAGTGGCCAAGACATCGAACACTGTCTTGCACTGTCGAACACTTAAAAACATCGAACACTGGTAGATGGTCACATGCATTAATCTTGTCAATGAACTGGCCACGTGTTTTCTGGGTTTTATTTGCCTTTGTAACACCTAAATAGGTGCCAGTTTCCCATACGAAGTCTTCCCGGGAAACATCCTCCTTTGGCATATTGCCTACATATCTTGCCGTATACAAATAATCCAATCCACACTTAAGATTCCCCCAATTGTTAAAGGAAAATCATATTGTTATAAGCTTGATTTAATTTGTAAACACAAAGTGTATTTGAAATAGGCACGCAGAAATGTTAACTTATTTTTGGGTCTATTTCACTAACATTTGTATAATTTTATAATTTCTACATACAATGTTCTAAAAGTCAGTTAACCATAGTAAAGTCTAAGTTGCTGTCTCCTATTCAATCACTAAATTCATATATTTTTATCGTGTTTTGTGAAGGACAAACATGTTTTTAAAGTTAATTATACTTAAAAACCCACATGAAAACATGGTAAACTGACTATTGGGCTACCCTTTATATACCACAAATATATATTTTGCTTAATATTGAGCAATTAAGTTTTCTTAAACTAAATTCTTAAAAAATTACATAATAAAAACCTTTTAATTTAGTTAATTTATAAAGAATTGCAAAAGAATTTTTTTTTAAATTTTGAGATATTTATCTAATTTCTTTTTTATTGTTGCACGACATTTCTTCTTAATATCTGACCTAAATAGATATAAAAACATTTGCCAATAATTTCTCCAATTATCTTGCAAAATATATAATATACAATTTCAAGGAATTTTTATTAGAATAGCATATTATCTAATTAAGCAATACTTTAAAGAGAAATAATATTGATTAAATAATAAAGTGCATTAACGTAGGCTCGTGAGTAAGTGCCATTATTTGTCAGAAAACAATTTTTATATAGAAGCTAGGCGGGGAACCTGTGAAGGCCACGTAAGGACTTCAGTGGCTTCTAGTATGGCCCAATAACACACAAAGTGGTTTACCGTCACGAGTTATAAAAGTATGCACCAAAAATACACGCTTGTGCAACCTGCTGTTCGACGCGTAGCCTCATAAGACGTGTCCTTCCCATTACGAAAGGTTCCCTTTGCAAAATTCCATTATACTTTGCTAATTTCATGCATGTGTTTTCTATATCTTGCAGCATTTGGGGATTTCTTAAAACATGGATGCCGTTCCTGGTGGTCGTTTGCATTGTACTGATCATATTCTTGGCCATAAATTATTAAAAACCAAGGTCGTTCGGACTTCCGAAGTTTGATCTTGAACACTTCAAGTATTTTACTTTTAATTACATTCTGTTTTCGTCTGTAAATATTTATTTATAAATATATAAAGTCGAAGTTTATTTACAGTAATTGGGATGATTTTTTTTTGTTGTTTTATAATTAAGAATGTGTCTGTGCCACAGATTATATACATGTAAACATTTATAAGAGTTTTTATAAAAAATAAATATAAATTGTGTAAGATACATTCTGGTCTATGTTAGAGCAAAATGAAATTGTATACATAACAATAAATTGTTAATTTAAAATTTATATGTGGTCTTTTCATTTATTTAATGAATCTGAAGAAGAGATGATTCTACTTGGCAATTCTCGACCTCGTTGAGCTAGCAGACGTTCCGCTAGATTTAGATTTGTTGCAATTCTAGGTTACGAAGCTCTCCCTTCAGCCAAATTTAAAATTGTGAGGCCATAAATTGTATTGGCCCACCAGTGATCAAGCAGATAAACCACTGAACGCTGATAAGTTGGATCCAGGTTTATGCTTAACTGATGGGCTGGTGCTGAGGAATTTTCAGGGTTTTTTCATGTCTAGCACCTAAATAGGAGCCGATATACTATAAAGACCTCTCAGGAGTTACCTCCCTCTTGGCGCATTTCGTTCTTTATTTTTCCATCAATGCATTCCAATCCCTAAATGGTCCCGTTCCTCACCGTCTGACTGCCCTCGGTGCTTGGTTGGGGTATGAGAAAACCTGTCTTAGAACAGAAGCATAAGGTCCCAATCTTCAGTTTCAGTGTGTATAAATCCAACCCTAGACATAAATCCAGAGGTGGGTTTGCATAAAAGTTAAATAAAAACACCACTTGGTTGGTCAGGTTTACACCAAACAAACCTATAGCAGCATATTTTGGATTTTTATGGCACAGTTTGGCACACCCTTTTTAGATTCCACAGAAATCGAGTGTGAACAGCAACAGGGATCCTGTGAATTTCGTGAAATGAAGAGCGATAGTTCGGAAATTCTCCGCGAGGTGGCGCCACAAACACTCGACGTACCTTAATTTCGGTTTAGATTCATCATTACGTTACAGTTCCGCTAGATCTTTACGTATTATCAGCTATAAATTACGGTCTACTTCATGGGGATCGGTTCTAGATCTTTGCATACGATCTGTACAAATGGGAAATTTATTTCTATCGTTTAATTTCTAAATGGAACACATTGCTCGACGATAGAAGAGAACGTATTACTTATTGATGCATGAAAACACCAATATACAATTGGTCACATCTGACTACTTATGGAGGGCTTTTCGTAGTAAGCACGTTGTGATACAACCTGGCACACCACTCTGTATCCTATTTATAGTTTTTTTCTACATATTTATGACAATATGAATAATTAATTTGGTAAGAAACGGGTCAGGGGGAAGATTTCCGAACATTTTGCCTCGTAAATTGACAAGAATGTAAATTGCAGACCCGAACTTTCTTCTGTTAAGGTTGGATGAATAAGTGTCCTTAGTGCTCCTGGCCTGTTTTCAACCGTACAAACTTTATTCAAGTTTTACGAGCTCATCCCTGAGAGTTTCTAGTTAATAATTTCAACATAATTTTGGCCCATATTTCTTTAATAGAACCGTACAATAGACCTAATACGATGCAGATGAACAGCATCCTGTTATTTCTATTTTTGGCAATGGGCACGAATATTGATGCTGTTCTTCTTTTTAAATGTATATTAATGAGCCAAAAACGTTAAAACCAGCCTAAAATTCTATGTTTAAATGTAAGGTAGAACTCGTTCCAGATTGTCACCCCTTAAGCGCAATTCCTTTTATACACGTAAACAGGACAATCAACCTTCCTGTGAGAAACACAACGCGGGTTTAAAGTGAGAGTATGCCATACTTCGAATATAATTCCTCGTTATTTCTCGACACAAAAAGATCTGGGTCCATACCCAGTTGGTAATGGGTAAATTAGACATTGGCCCATTGCACGCCCTAAAACTCTCACCATATTTAGAGCATCGATAGTCGATGATTCCAATAATCACCATGTGAAGCAGGTACACTAGAAACATGTTTCAGTTGGGCAGCTTGACACGCATCGTGCCTCGAAACCTGCTGCAGCAGGCCCATCATGTTACTTACTTCAGGACAGTCACCCTGCTGCAAGCGTTTGTCGCTTAGAACTTAACTTTGAACAGAATCTAACAAGCGAAAAATTGGGTCATTTCTAAGTTTACCTTCCCCTTTTTAACACGTCATCTGTGTGTGTGTTTGTACTCACTCCAGTAATGTCAAGGATGAACCATGGTTTCATTTACCTTCTACCTTCGATAATTAAATTTTGTCTGCACCGTTTACTCGAAACATAATCTAGAAATCTCTTTCCCTTTCCTCCATTAATAACAATTATTTACCAATTCCTACCGGTCACGTGTCGTCTACTGTGTTTTATTACACCCCACGTGAAAGTTTTAATGAGTTATTTTAGGAATTAGAGAACCGAACCCACTCCGCATAACTCGATAAGGATAATTAGTGTTTTTCACACGCTACTCCATGCTTATTAAAAATTTAATAAGCCTTTCAATGAATTAAATCATTCGACTGTAACGTCTTACAGGAGGAGGAGGAGGAAGAAGAGGGGGGATACTTAAGTGCATTAGGTTTGTTCCACGCGCTCTCCTCGATAGAGAAAGCGATTTTCGTGTTTAATTCTTTAAAAAAACACACGAAAAATTCCGTGACGTAGAATTATCACCAGGAAAATTTCCAATCTTATCCATGAAAATGCAACAAAGCGTAAAATATCCGCCATGTTTATCCCCATCCTCTTTGTGGTCAATTAGTTATTCCTGTCTGCAAACAATGATTAATCCCTGCGAGTTGGGTAATGGAGTAATGCTATCTGTTTGCTTGAAATGTACATCTATTTAGTAAAAGTCGTTACCAACGTGTTGCATACTTCATACACCTTAGAAAGAGTGAAAAAAACAGCATGAAAAATTACTAAATCATTTATTTATCTGATGTCCCATGATGAGGAGATTCAGAGATTCAATGCTGCCGTGTGTTTTTTCTTTTTTTTTAAATCCATCATCGCGTTCTGTATTAGATTTATGTAGAAAATGGGAGAAAGTTCAAGTTTTATGCACGAACGAGCAGAGGTACACACGAACATCTCCGTTTGTGTAGCTCATGAGTAATGGTCATGCTGAAGGACGTGTTGAAAATGATACGAATCGATGAAGTTTAGCAGTTTTTAATGGGTGTACGAAGAGGAGGAGATGCGTAATCATGCTTCATCCTTCATGCTGGAAGGTAAAAGTTAAAGAAAAAACAACATGAAATGGATGAGGAGGTTTCAGATGATGATGGTGCTCGTGTTTTTTTAATCCATCATCACATTTGGTATTAGAAGATTTATATAGAAAACGGAGAAAGTTACACGAAGAACACCCCATTTTGTGGTGCATGAGGAGAGAGTGACGGCTTACAAATAATGGTCATGCTGAAAGTAGTGTTCTTCAAAAAAATTCTTGTTAACAATGACACGAATGGATGGTATTTAGCGGCTTTTATGTTCGTATGTGAGAGAAATGGATGTGCAATTCCGGATGTGAAGAGTAGAAGGATGGCGGAGCGTGACGTAGATCCACCCGATAAAACGTATTTTTATTTTTATTATCAGATGAGAAAACATTCAACTGACGATAATTAATGAGGTTTGTTTTTAGCAAAAGAGTTGCGTATTCTCAACTGGTTTTTGGTTATTAAAGCTCTCGTTATAGCGTTTTTTTTTTTACATCTTGAACCTTGAACATTTTCGAAATTTTAATGACTTTTCGGAGGAAAGGAGCCGTGTTTTTTTTTTTTTTCCTGCTAACGTACTTAATTCTCGCTAAAAAGTCACCTAATTTAACGCACGCGAGCCTCAACGTACCCGATCCTCGGTGATGTCTTCGGCACGAATCTTCATCCTGAAATATCCTTGAAGAATTGATGGCTAAATTGTGGTTCATTATGGCTTATTATGAGGTTTAATTCTATTCATTCGGCAGCGTAAATGAGGGAATGAGGCGAGTTGCCCATTGACTTCAGTACGAGTATGGGTGAGGAACAGGGTTCGGATATATTAGAGCCACACACGAGTTGAAAGAGGAGGAGGAACCTCGTGTATGTTACAATTTACTAATATATGAGGTTCCTCGGGTGTAACACCCTGATCCGAATTGCCCACGAAGAATAAATACAGAATAAAATCTTGTGATCTTAGAAATACTTGAGGTAAGCAACATAAATGTGGGGAGGGTGAGGCAGGTAGGTCCTGAACCAAATTCCTCAATCGTAGATGTTCTTGACCTTCAATACAATTGAAAACACGGGTGAAGGATAACGTCAGGATTCGAGATGCCCATGAATCCACATTGGAGTGTATAGAATAACAACACGTGCCCATGGACACGTGTATTCCACAAAATCGCTACCCTTCTTCACGAGAGCACCCCCTTTTTATGCCCACGCTCCCCACTTAATTTGCATACAAAAAAAATGAAGCGACTGTCGAATAATGTGACGTAAACGCGCGTTAAACACATGATTTAACAAAGATAACCTTGACGACGCTCAACACTAGAGACGTATTAGTTGTGTGACGTAACGACAAATTAGTATCATCAAGAACATCTTTCAGACGTCCTTCGACAAAGGACAGGGTCGACTTCTGAGAAACACACGGTAAAAAAAAAGGGGTCGTTGTGTGTAGATAATGGCGCATGATCGAGGGCAGGCCCTTGTCAAACAATTAGTTCACGGCCCCCCTTCGTGGGGGGTGAGAATCGGCGTCATTAACCACGTTGTAAGTACGAATTCTGTCGATACACATCACTCGACCACCCCTGAGTTGTGTTTCGTTAATTGATACCTGACACTTAAAATTGTTTTAGGGGGCCTCAGTAGAGAAGAATCTATTGTTTAGTTCGTCTCTTGTGTTAAGGACGTATTCGGTAATCGAATCCGGATCCTCCCCGCTATCAGAACACTAAATTTGGATGCTTTTAAGTGTTGTTTTTTTATATTTTAAGGCTAGGATTAACACCGTAACTCGATATTCGACTTGTGTTTCCTCAACTGGTGTTCGCCAAGTGTTCTTCGTTGGTTTAAGGGGGATCGCCAAGTAAAGGTTGGGAAGTAAGGGGTATAAATAATATCAAAGTATTAAAGGGGAACTTACTTAAAACAAGAGGGCAAACGAAAGATTGAATAAGTAATCGTTCAAAACTCCATAAACTCCTATTTTAAGCCCAAGGAGGGGTGTTCGGAGAAGGGGGAACAAACACTAAAAAAACACACACACACGTTACAATGCAGGGTTGCATTTCGAGTTTTAAAATCGAAGGGCCTCTGGGTATACGTCAGACTCGTTTTCTGTGTGTTTTTTAACCCCCCGAAACACCATAAAAAAGGGGTCGCTCCCAGGAATACCCCCCGTGTAGAAAGTAACCAAACTCGAATTGTGGGCGGCCCAATTTCACTGGCAGCTAATACAACTTTCCCTTTTCTCAGGCGGACGTTACCCTCTTGTAAAAAAAAAGAAAAAAACCGCCCGTAACCCGTAACACTCTCCTTCCCGTATTGAGAAAACAATAATCTGGTGTATAATTTTCATTCTGACGAACCAACCTTGTGTGACAAGCAGGCCAAAATTTCGCCCCCCCCTCAGGGTGCTCGTCTATCGGGCGTAACTGGGTCGCCCCAGGCGGAAGTAGACGACGGCGAGGGGGGGATGAGAGTTCGTAATTACGCTTAAGACAGTCGTGTTACGTTGGTTTCTCCACTGTTGTGTCGTGTAAGCGCGTTTTCTTTCGTAGTTTCTCCTCAATTTAACGTAACGAAACTGTTACGCTAAATTGAAACTATACGCACTACATGATTGACAATTGTTGTTACGCTAAATCGAGAGAGTAATTCACTTTTAGAACCGATAAACGTTCAAAGAAATGCTTCAGTTACGTCTTCTACTACTAGTCACGTTGTTTTTTTGATTTCAAAGCGAATTATTCTCACGATTTAGCGTAACGATAGTCGTAAAACTGTTACGCACCGCATGTTCGACTAGTGGAAGACGTAACTGAAGAATTTCTTTCGAGAAATGATTGTATTTTGTGTATTTTAAATAATGTTTCTCCTCAATAAAGCGTAACGTAACTACTGTACGTAAATGTGTAGTTTGCGTTACGCATTACGCGTATAAACTGACAGAAAATGTAACTTTTCTGTGAAATTTACTTCGTTTTTTTTTTTTATTCTACTATTTTGACAGTGTTAAAATCATTATTTCCCGTCAATTTAGCGTAACAACGTTCACAAAACAATGCACGGATGCGTGTTACGAGTTACATTTACGAACAAGTAAATAAAAGTCTTTCTTTCGAATATACCTTGTATTCATTTAACACGACTTTTTATCACCAGTTTAACGTAACAATAATTGTTAAATTCGGCATAAAAATACCCGTAACACAAGTTAGAAAGCGTAACCGAATTGCATATATATTTTTTTTAAATTCTAAATTGACATTTCTCACTAATACAACGTAACAATATGCACAGAATATGTACTTCGTGTTACGCGTTACGCTTATAACCGATAGAAAACGTAACGTAATTCTTTATTTAAAGAGTTAAAATAAATTCGGAAGTGGGGGGTGGACAGAAAAACGCACGTCACACCACTTCGTTAAAGGAAAAACAAAGGGGGGGAGGTTTTATTGACTTTCGAGTGTTTGTTTGTTTACCAATCAATGAGCTTCACTCTTCGAGTCACTCGACCTTCTCTCCCTCGTCTGTTTGTCTGTCTGCACGATCCATTCATTACACTACTGTCGCGTCACGTGACTCCCATTGACCATCTCAACAATGGACTCGCGATAATAATGAGAAATAAACAAAGGCGAAAAGCCATATAAAATGAGACACGTGACCGTCTGTCTGCTCGCCACCTCCCCCCTTTTCTTTTTTAATGAGAAGAAGGGGCACACGGGGGGGTTGAGCTCGGCCGCCACCCCCTTTGTTTTATTTTTCGCGTAACGTTTGGCGTAACGTATCGAACGCAAATAAAAGAAGGGGGAGAGGGTGAGGTTATAACGCGTTAAAACCATTCGATTTTTAATCCAGCGGGAATCCTCGCGAGCTCTCGCTCCCTCCCCCCCGTACGAAAATAAGTAAAGGGGGGAGGGAGGGAATTGGACAATTAGCCCTGGAGAAATTAAGGAGGAGCGCATTCCTAAACTGGGCCGCGTTAGGGGGCCCGAAATTCCCGACGGGGGAAACGGAGAGTCGAAGAGAGGGGGAGGGGGTCGAGCGGGCGCGTGCGTGCGTGTGTGTGACGCGTTACTCTGTTACAATTCGGAAAGTTACGCCGTTCACGATTGGCGGGGACGTTAAACACGGGTTAGATGGAATGCTGTAGTGTTGCTTGGCCCGCAGCTAGTGTGCACGAGGAGGTAGTGGGGTCAGGAACGTACTACGACTGCGCGTGCCAACCAGTTCCGTCAACACTCGACAGTCGACGGTGTGGCTCTGATGGTAGCGGTTTGTAAGCGCTTGCCTGCTGTACAGTGAGGTATGGAAGCGGTAGCGTACAGCTGGTTGGCGGCTGCCTCGTGCTCGCCCCTGTTGATCATGCTTGCCGTGTGGACCCTTTACATCTTCCACACCTATCGAAGACAATGGAGAATGGTGGACCTCTTCTTCCTGGCCGTGGTGGCACAGGAGATGGTCACCTCGTCGTTTGCCTTCGCCTTTGCCGTCTTCAGGCTCATCAATCCCAGCCTGGAGCCCGCCTGCGTCTTCCTTCAGTGGGGTCTCACCTCCACTAGGGCCTTCCAGATCGCCACCCTCGCCTCTTTAGCCGTAGACAGGGGCCTGACCTTGCGCTGGCCCTACAAGTATCGTTTGAGTGTCCGCAGGAACCAGATCCGTTACCACATCGCCGTGCTTGCTGTAATCTCTGTGTTCGTCGGGGTGGCTGCGGTGTTCGCCCGCGTGTCCGGCAGGGGGCCCTGCTCGGTCAGGCCCTCCGCCTGGGATGAGAAATTCTCTGTGTTCTTGCTATCCCTATACGCCGTCCTGGTTCTAACGTCCTTCGTGTGTTGTGCCCATGTGGTCTGCCACAAGTGCAAGAAGCGTACCGGTAAAAAGGAACCGCTGCCCGTTACCGATTTCGGTACCTCGTGCAGCGGTACCGGTTCCAGCAGCAGCGGCGGAAGTTCCCGGCCTCTCAGGCCCCTCAGATCGTACAATAACGACTTTACTACATTGGATATGAGGTGGACCGCCGTCTCCTCCGTTTGTATCTGCTGCTACACCGTCAACCATGTACCGTTTTTGGTAAGTACCATTACTTTTTTCCCCTAATATTTACCGCAGGCCCGGAAAAACTTTACGAATTCCCGCTTGTTTATAATGTAACTAGCTAAAACACGCAAGAGGCCCTTCCCATTCGGTCCTTAGCATCACCTGGTACATTATTTCCTCGTCTGTGTGGGTCACTTCTCATAAGGTTTCTTTTCTTCCCTAAGCTATAACATATGTTATAAGAGGCCTATGAGGCCTAGCTGTGTTATAAAAGCGTAAATATATAACTACAGCATCGTTGCTGAGGCCTTAAACTGTACCAGTAGTATATATTTTACCTTTTATTCGATCATATAGGGTTTGTTATGACCCTATCGAGTTTAAGGGACCCTTCTCTTTGCAAAAATTAATAATAAGGGCTCGAAGGATTATATGTAGCACCAGGCCTTAAGCTATAATTTGTTCTGTCGGGCGTCACGTGATACATTTTCTCTCCTCATCAGGTGATGTATTATAGGGCTAATCCCTAACATACGAGGCCTTCCTCTTTTACCAAACGGTAACAAATTTAAAAACATAAGGCCTTAGCTTGTGTAAATTCGGTATCACGCGGTATAACTTTATCGATTATAATATAAGATTTGTTGTGCCTCAGTAACCTATAAGAGGCCCTTCCAATCCAGCAAATAACTAAAGAGGTGAGGCCTTAACCTCTCATATAAATCCAGTCACACGCTGCACATTTTAAGTCATTGTGCTTCAGTAACGTATAAGAGGCCCTCTTTCCTTTTCATATTGATCTAGCTGTAGAGGCCCCACCAAGCTGAGCTTTTATGTCAATCAAGCATCACACGGTACACTTTACCTGTAAAGTACAAGAGGCCTTTCCGCTCGATCGAATAACCGAGGAGGTAGTAGCAACAGTCACGCGAGTCCTTAAGACGAGCTTTAGGTATAATTTAACAATCTTATAGTGTTTGTTCTATCTCAGTAAGAGGCCCTTTCACTCTATCAAATAGCTAGTCTCGTAATTGAGGCCCTAAGCCCCGAGCTTGCGTAGTTAAAATCACGTGGGTACATGTAAGATTCGTTGTGCCTAGGTTCCTCTCTCCGCAAGAAGCCGAGATATCTGTAGTGACGTAATACGAGGCCCCAAGCCACAGCCCGCGTATAGATCCGGACCTGGTCGTCACGTGGTACAATTCTACCCGCCATCCGGTCGTACATTTCAATTGTTAAGTACGTCCGTTTCGCTAGTAAAGGATGTCCTCTGCCAAATTACAAAAAGCAGGATACAAAAAAAGGAACCTTACTCTTCCGCTCGGAAACGCGTGGGATGTGGACCGATACCCACCAAAAAAAAAACGAAAATAATAATACAAATAAAGGCCCTTAACGAGGGCCCTAAACTTGCCGATGACCTTATAATTGAATTTGCGGTTCGAGTTGTTTTGAATTAAAGATCCTGACGTTACACACACTAGAAAAAAAAACAACTAAAATAAAATTTAAAAGGCCCTTTATAACGAGGCCTCTAGACTCGCCGTCGACCTTTTAATTCAATTTTCGGTTTGATCTTTCCAGAATTTAAAGTCCTAAAATCTCATTATACACACCAGAAAAAACAAGTAAAATAAAACAAAAAAGGCCCTATAAAGAGGGCCCTAGACTCGTTTTATAACTCAATTTTTTGTAACGTTTTTCCCGAATTAAAGGACCTAAAATCTCATTATACACACCAGAAAAAACAAGTAAAATAAAACAAAAAAGGCCCTATAAAGAGGGCCCTAGACTCGTTTTATAACTCAATTTTTTGTAACGTTTTTCCCGAATTAAAGGACCCAAAAACTCGTTACTCGCACAAAAAAAAAGATAACGAAAAAACTAAAAACAAAACTAAAAAGGCCATATATAACGAGGCCCCCCTATCGACCTTATAATTTAATTTTCGGTTAGAGTTTTCCAGAATTAAAGGGCCCGAAAACTCGTTACGCTCATCACAAACGAAAAAAAAAAAAAGGAACCCGTTTCGTGCCATTGACACTGCATCTACACGAATTTTACTCTCCGAAAATTCGGTACGTTCGTTTGTCGATTCTCAACCGAAGAATTGGAACTCCGAAGGTCAAATTCTCGCGCGAAAAAAAAAAATAAAATAAAATAAAAGAAACACGCGCACACACACATACACATACACACGTCACTGTTACGTTTCGTAAACTTAACCCATCTCCGGTTACGCAATCGGTAGGTCACGTCGCTTCGGGTTCAACTCGTGACTCTTACTACAATAAAAATGCCCGTTACGGCCTTGTAAATATGTTAGAGCACGTGTTACGTCCCTCCGAATTCTCGCGTTTTCGTTCCCGTCTCTGGGATCCTTGTGCGTTAAAACGGGATTTTCAACCCGGATTGGGCAGAAGTCGCGGCCATTATCAGACCGAAACTCGATATAAAGTGTGTTGAATGTTCGGATGAACACGACACGGATTTTCACTGATTGAAAAATGCGCATTCGTCGTCACCCCCGCCGTCAACCCCCCCGTGTCTGTCGTCGGTTAAGGTTAGGCCCGAAATTATCGATTTGGCCCTAAATCGGGGTAAAAAGGTCGTATCATTGGTCGTTTTCGTGACGTTTGGCCCTAATTCGGAATAAAAGGGCCTTATCATTGGTCATTTTCTTGCAGATTTGGCCCTAAATAGGAATAAAAGGGTCTTATCATTTGTCATTTTCTTGCAGATTTGGCCCTAAATAGGAATAAAAGGGTCTTATCATTTGTCATTTTCTTGCAGATTTGGCCCTAAATAGGAATAAAAGGGTCTTATCATTTGTCATTTTCTTGCAGATTTGGCCCTAAATAGGAATAAAAGGGTCTTATCATTTGTCATTTTCTTGCAGATTTGGCCCTAAATAGGAATAAAAGGGTCTTATCATTTGTCATTTTCTTGCAGATTTGGCCCTAAATAGGAATAAAAGGGTCTTATCATTTGTCATTTTCTTGCAGATTTGGCCCTAAATAGGAATAAAAGGGCCTTATCATTTGTCATTTTCTTGCAGATTTGGCCCTAAATAGGAATAAAAGGGCCTTATCATTGGTCGTTTTCGTGACGTTTGGCCCTAATTCGTAATAAAAGGGCCTTATCATTTGTCATTTTCTTGCAGATTTGCCCAAAAATTACGGTAAACAACCCTCATTACCCATTTTCGTGACGATTTAGCCCAAAACCACAGGAAACCTCTCATTTTCCTCCGGAATTCATCCCAAAAACACCCCCCATCCCCGCGGCCACCTTAATTAAACACACACAGCCCAAAAACCCTGTACAAACCAACGTAAATACCTCTCCGGATTGACCGGCGCTCGAGACAAAAGGGGGGGGACGGAAGGGGGAGGAGAGGGTATCAGTACTCGTTAGTATTATATTTCGGCCCGAGGCACATCTGGTCACTCATTGTGACAGCCTACATCGTTCGAGCATCGAAAACTAACCAAGCAGAAACGCCGTTTCAGCGTGAGAACGACCTGACATCCCCGGCAGGGTCAAGCGTGATGAAGGCAGCAAATTCGTCCCTGGCAACACCGGTGTCCGCTTTACTTCCCCCCTCTCTTCCCCCTCTCCGGGTTATAGGTCAAGCGCGTGCCACGTGGCGCGTTATACGCGGACCCCCCCCCACCTGCTCGCGATATCAAGGTCGAGAAGACGAAAACCTGTTCCTCCCTCCCCACCTTTTTTTTTTTTTTATTCCTCCACCCCTCGAAATTCCATTTACCTTCTCGATTTTTTTTATGGCCCGTCCGTTTGTCTGTCCGTCCCGATGATCCTGTGTGTTTTTTTTTTAATAAAACCAGCGTAAGTGTGTGCACTTTTATTAAACAAATTGCGCAAAAATCTCCCATTGTTATGGTAGTTTATTAAAATTTCTATTATAAAGAGGGTCCTCCAGTTTCGATTGGCCCATCGCCCGGGACCATTTTTCAACACAGGAAACGGGTATTTTAATTGTTTGTGGGTTTGACGAAAGCAAAATCGACGATTGTCAAATTCATTGTTCGCCTTTCACCTTCGACAATTGTGCGCTTTTTTTTGTTGGACGGATGTTAACATTGTTAAGAGCTTTTGGCCTTGTTTAGAAGTGTTTCCTGTGTGACAGGAATGCGTTCTTTTGTTCCTCCATCGTTTGTAAAGGATACTTTTATCGAATTAATCCTACTTAATTAGAGAATGCCCATTATTTGTTCTGTGATACGCACCAGGGTTTCGGGTCGCGATCTAGAAATTAAGGCTCGAAATTATAGTGTTTTTTTCGTAGTTCCCTTGTCCTAAAATACAAAAAATTATTGCCTTTTTTTTAAAAAAAACACTTCTGTTTGTTGTAAATGTAACTTCTTGTCCTGAATTTTCTAAAAAAAACACAAGGAATTGCCTTTTTTTTTTGTTGCATTTAGCAGCATCCTCTTACTCTAAATGCCTTGAATTTTCCAAAAAAGACACTAGAAATTGCATTGTTTGTGTGGTTTTCTGCAGTTTCCTTGTCTTAAAACACAAGGAATTGCCTTTTTTTGTGGTTTTAGCAGCACCCTCTTACTCTAAATGCTTGGATTTTCTTTAAAAAACGCAATAAACTGCAGTTTTTTGCGTTGTTTCAACATCACTTCGTCCCAAATTTTCTAAAGAAACACAAGAAACTGCCATTTTCTTTGGTGTTTCCACATCACCCCTTACTATAAATGTATTCATTCAACCTGAATTTTCTTTAAAAACAAGCAAAAAAACACTTGGAAGATAAGAATCACGTTAACATGCTCCATTTACAAATATAAAGATACGTGTTTTCTGCTGGGGGGTTTAGCATCCGTTACGTCATCCAATCTGAATTTAAGAGAATCTAATTGAAGTAATTTACATTGTAAACTATTTATAGAAAGGAGTAGAACGGATCCATTTTCTTCCCATTGAGCCAATTAAGATTTGTCAAGGTTAAAGTTGTTGTCCATTGTATGCGACATTGATTCTTGTTTCCCATTAACACC